TTTTTGAAAGCAGCTTTGAAAAAAGCAACCCAGAGTCAGCTTTTAAAAGCTGTTGTCAAAAGGCCACTGCTTTTAAAATAATCGAGATATTTTAATTTTACCAAACACCTTAAACTGCTTAACTTTAAAGTTAAGCAGGTTTTTGGCCAAAAAAAGCAATCCCAAACGGGGCCTTACTATGTGGTATTTATTTATTTTTTTAGCTAGCTAGCTAGCTATTGGTTTAGTGGTAATTTTTAGAATATATATGTACAAAGAGCTTCTATTGAGAGATCTCTCAAATTAGTTTATTTGAGGAACATCCGTGTAGGATCCACTTCGCATTGTATTTCACTAATTCAAACCGTCTATGTTTGAAATAATAATTCAAAGATCATCTCTATAAAAAATTATTTAAATCTGATCGTTTGACCACTCAATTGTTATTGAAATTTTAGTACTTTCTTGAAGCAACGTGTTCATTGATTTTGTAGCATACAATTAGATGTCGAAAAGGTTTCCGAATTGTCTAATTTTTGCAAGGATGATCTATGAATGTAGACTTAAAAAATAAATGGAGTTTCACTAAAACACCCAAAATGGGGGTTGAAATTATAAAAAAACCCAAGTACTATTTAAACATATAAACACACCCAAAACCCATCATTACACATACTCAAAATCCATTTATAAACACACCCAAAAAGTTGACTTTGGGGTTGATTTTGGGTGTGTTTCTATGTTTAAATAGTGCTTGGGTTTTTTTTATAAATACATGTCTAGAATTGGGTTTATTTATAAATTTGTAAAAAATAAATGGTTTGGATCGTTGGAAAAAAATTCGTAGGGTACCATAAAAGTGTCCCTCAAATAAAATTATTTAAGGGATTCATCAATAGAAGGGGACTGTGTATATATATATATATATATATAACATTTTTATAATTAAAAATATATTACTACCTTATTTCGTGCCCGCAAATCACAATTTGACACATATGCAAAAATAATTCATCAAAAACACAAAAAGATAAACGTATGTGTGTGATACTGCTATTGACAGGAATGTAGGAGCTCATACTTATATGGTAAGAAGTGAAGTATTATCATAATGAAAACAAAATAAACATTTCATTGTTGACCCCAAAAAAAAAAAATCTAATTTGACTGAAATTAATATACAATAAATTATTTTTATTAAATAATTGGACATCTTATGTTGTTAAAATGCCAATAAATATGTTGTACAAAACCTTGTAATTAGTCCAAGTTAAGAGGTGAGAGTGGGTATGGGTTCAGGAATTGGCCACCCACAACCTTCTTATTTTGCTTATTTTTCCAATTAATTAAATGAAGGGAAGAAATTAACGAATGAAAAGAAAAGATAGTTCTTGGTTTTGATTTTTTACTTTTCAAATGACAATTAAAGTTCGGATTCATTAAAAGACAATCAATCAAAGCCAGACTACACAGAAAAGAAGAATTCCGAAAAATCTGAAGAGACCGAAATCATGAACCACATAAGAATTTTGCAATGCTCTGCTGAAGAAATTTCCAAGATGGACAAAATCAGACCACACATCCTCAAGTAAACAAAGTACAGCCAAAATTGGAATTACCTAACTAGAAGGGAGAAAAAACAAGGGATTTAAACTAGTTCAGTCTTCTTCGTCGATCACCTTGGTGCCCAAACCAGTAAATCCCTCTGGAGGGACCTCTGTAACAGTGACTAGTGAGTATAACTCCTCCTTGGCATCTTCTTCATCATTTCTCTTCCGTGCAATGCGGACGCGTATCCTTCTAGGCACACTTCGAATCCCACGGCTCCAAATGTGCTTGTTGAGCTTAACATCCACTCTAACATCTGTAGTACCCATAGCCTTTTCAGCAAACTTCCTGATTTCCTTTATCGCATTTGGAGCCTTCTTTTTAAATGTGCTGCATGAGAATCAAGATATAGGTTACTTAAATCATTTGCACAGCTGATGCTTAACATAGACAAAACAAAGGGATACAGCAGATATGGAGTCTGCAACATTACACTCAAAGATGCAGAAATTTTCTAAGCAAAACCTAAACTGTGACGGGTCCTCATATCAAGTTAAACTTTCATTCTTTTAGATCGGTAAACCGGCAGGTTTCTCATCAATGCATCATTCAGAAAGATATTATAAGAACACAGGAAAATTGATCTAAACATATTCAAATTTGGTGACACACAAAGTCTAGAAATGTAATGTCATCACATAACCACCCAAATACATTTGAATTTAGGTACATGACATGTATACAAAAGCAAATGTTTTTTAACCAGCTTCGGCTTTGGCTATTACTGCCGAAATTCAATTGAAGTCAGAGATCAATTCACACAACTAAAATAAATTTTATAAACAAGAAATCAACTGCTTGTGCAAGACGATACTGACTGGGGACGTATCAAGCGCAACAAAAACACAAACAAATACGAAAATATGATATTCATATAATACATAATAAATTCCACTTAAAGCAAACAAATTTCCTGAGAGGGAACAAAATAACAGTTTATAACGACAACAGGGTTCACTACCATCATTTTGAGTCTCATAAGGAGCAGCCACTGACTTTTAAAAATGGATGTAATGCTTTGAAAATAAATCATCTCCATGCCTTTTGATAAAGAAATTTATAACATCTACGTCTTGGTAATCAAATTCTTTTGATTTCAGTCTCAACAATTACAAATTATAATAGGAGACGAGCAAGATCAAAATCAAATAAAATAATGCAGGAAGAATCAAATCAACTATGTAAGCACTTATTGCTCAGAAAACACACAGAATATAAGCATTAAAAAAAACAAATACAAGACTAAATTAAACTCCTTCAACGCAGATCTTAACCCATTAGCAAGAACAGTATAAAAGTAACGAACATGGACGGAGGGATTACCATCCATGCAAGCGTTTGTGGAGGTTGATGGTGTACTCTCTGGTAACGACCTCTTCCTTTCTTCCTTTTCCGCCCTTCTCCACCATTGTTGAAGCTCTGCGATCCCCAAATGAGACGACGACGACGACGACGACCTCCACTCACCAGCAATGAATTTGTTCCCTCGGCTGCTAAACAAGCCCTAGGGCGTTAACGGCAGATCATATACTGATGAGCTTTTCGTGAAATGCCCTTAACTTTTCTTTTAAACTACAGCATTGCCCTTACAAGTACACGAAAGCTCAAGGTTGTTTTTGTCTTTCCATTTGCTGTTTTTTCTTTGTGGGTAAAACTGTGTCAGGCCCAACCAAACACCACAGCCCAAACTGCCTCCGTAGCATCCTCAAGCAAATGAGACCCAAACTGCTAGAAAGACCCAACCAGCTTGGTCAAACAATCAGCTGCACAACAATTTTATACATATCAATATTTAAATAAGAAGGAAACGAGAAAAAACAAATAAATTTTATTAACCCATTGTACATAATCATTTCAAATCTTGTTGTTCAAATATTTTTCTTCTAATAATGAATCGTAGAAATTCAATGGATATCCAATTAAAATCTAAAAAATAGTAATTTGGTGGTATTCAATTATAATTTGGCAAAATAATCATTCAAAAAGTCAGTTTTTAAGGGAACTGAAAAGTATTGATTTTTGTCAATGAGAATTGGTTCAGTTAATAAGGTTTATGTACCATGTGTAGCCCTATTAGTGTTCGAGTCCCACTACCAGCAGTCCTTATTGGTGCATGATTTATAATTTCCTACATAAATTCATATTGATGTCAGTTGGGTACCAGTGCACATGTAAGTCCTTCTGGCTCGAGATTGTGGGTTTGCCTTGGCGCTGGTGGTGAGAGTAGCTAATCTCCCCATAAACTTCCTCTCATTTAAAAAAAAATATATATAAAAATATATATATAAAAAAAGTGATTTTTGTAAACAAAAAAAAAAAGTAGTGATTTTTGTGGATTTTTAGAATGAAGATTCAAGACTTAAACCCTTACTTATAATTGACCCCAAAAAAAAACCCTTACTCATAAAATAAAAATAGATAATAAATAAAAGAGACTCAAACCCTTATTAAGCTCCCGCTCCCACTCTCTGTCTGGTGCTGCCTCTCATCTTCTTCATCGTCTCATATCTCCCAACTTGCAAAGGTAGGCAACCGATCAGCTCCTTTTCCGTTAAACCCACAATTTGAAGATCAGCAGAGAGACAAAGGTACTGGCTTTCACCTCTTATGCCTGATTTCTTTATTATTTTCTGTTAAATTTTAATTTTCTCAGTATATTAATGTGTTCGTGGTTATATATAGCTTGTAAAAGTTATCTTTCCTGGGTTTCAGAAACCCTAATGTTTGATAAGTGTTTATACATGTGTAGTCAAAAGGTTAATTGGTGTGTTGCCATTTGGTACTTGTCGAATCTTTCATTCAATTGAATAAGTTTTTTTTTTTTGTTGTGATGCTTTATTTTCTCTTCCTGATTACTTTTATATTTGTCATTCAATTGTCTAACTTTTGTTTTTTGATTTTATGAAATATTTTCCAAGTTTAGCTTTTTAGGGTTTTTTAGTAGAGCTTCATCATCCAATTGAAGAACTGAACAGAGCCAAATAAGATGGTAAGTTTGAAACCCACGAGAAAAAGACACAGAAACTTTTGATTGTATATCCTGGCTTGGCTTACATGTGGATTTGGTGTTTATATTTTGTGGGTGAAATTGTGTTTTGTGTTTCAGTCAGGGAGGAAAGAAACAGTCTTGGACCTGGCCAAGTTTGTGGACAAAGGTGTCCAAGTCAAGCTCACTGGTGGTAGACAAGGTTAGTACACTTTGTTCAACTCCCCATTTCTCTTTCTCAAATAATTACTATCTAGTTTTGTTGAATTCTTGATCAATGTGTAAGAGATTCTAGCCATCTGGCCTATAGCCTACTGGTATATCTCTCTCCTCAAATTTTCGTGGATTTGTAGGGGTTATGAGTCATTTGATTACCGTTACGGTTAAGGAAGTATTTTCCCTGCTTTAGAGGGTCAAAGTAAAAGCAGTCTTCGTTTCTAAACCAATAAATAGGAGTTGTAACACCCTATCAAACAATGTCTAAGATTCAGAATGTAGAAATTTACACCATTTGTAGGTTGTATAGTAAATATTTTATTAATCTGGGGTATGTGGCAACAGTGAATAGATACTAGCTGAGTCATAATAGGTTATCCCACCTCTTTGCTTCAAACATAATGTCAACAGAATTTACATTTTTCTGTTTAGGAAAATATCAATGAGAAATTTATATATTTTTATAATTATCTATTGTGTGTACGCAATTTAATTTTCTGTTTTGAATTTGATTACAGTAACAGGGACCCTAAAAGGATATGACCAGTTGTTAAACCTTGTCCTAGACGAAGCAGTAGAGTTTCTAAGAGGTAAATGTTCTGTAGCCTTCCGGAAACTGTTTTTGCCTTGTGTGCGTTTAAATTTATAGCATCCTTGTGCTCAAGAAAGACCAACTTACAGCACAGAAGGCAGGAATTAGATGACTTTGAAAATTTTCTAGGAGTTTTAGTCTCTTCAGGTTCTTGTCATGATAAGTTTTGTAACTTTTCTGTACTAGTGGATATGATAAGTTTGACGTAAGAATTTTCCCCCTTCATTGCAGATTCTGATGATCCATTGAAGACTACGGACCAGACCAGGCGCCTTGGCCTAATAGTATGTATTCTTCTAGTATATCTCTGATGTTGAATCTTAAACCAGCGCCTAAAACTTCAAGCATACATACTTATATACATAGATGTTCGGTGGTGGTTTAATGGTAGTGAACTATGACTAATATTGTTAGGATTTGGGGTATGGTTGGTTCTGATACTTTCTGAAAGTCTGATCACATCACAACGGTGAGAATATAGTATTAAGGGGAGAGATGAAAATTGCTGGATAAAATTAGAAAAGAAAGAATCTAAGGATCATGTTATTATCATGCAACTATGGCCTGTCCAACAGAATGTAACATGCATAGGCTCCTTATCACACTTACGTCATCTTCAATTTTGTTACCCGTGATATAATATAGTTAAACATCTGGAAGTGACTGGTACATCAGTTCCTTTCCAAATTCAGTAGCCAACATCAAATACAGACTCCAGTAACATTTATTATTCCTCTTCACTCTCTGGTGTTCACCCATCATGGTGGCTATGTATAGGAACAGTTTCGCTCTCCCTAAAAGAGTAAGAACAACGTTGCAGCTTGCTGACGACCTCATGAGAGTCTGAAAGAAAGCTGGTTTTAGCATCATCTCTCACTATATCCTTCCCTTTCTCACCTGGTCAATATTAGCAACATGTCTACCATGTGTTTGTTGGTTTTGGTAGCATCTTGTCCCAGCTTCATTGCTTTGCTCACTTGAAACATTCCGAACAACAGCTATATTCACAGGTGCTGCACCATCTTTCTTTCCTGGAAGGGCCTCTTGCACCATAGCACCATGCCTCTTTCTCTCCCATTGAGGCATATTTTATCCTTTTGGGTTGAACAAATGCAAAACTCCCATCTCATCTATAGTTGATTGATTTAACCCTGCAAGATAAAGAGATGTTAAATGCTCGTTACTTAACCAATTCAATTTGAGGGATTACAGAATGCATAATTGTACTCCTCTACAGTCCTTACTTTCATCCTTTTGCTTTAGTGAGTGAATTTTCTGATACAACTCAATCATGTAGTCAGCTGCTAAAAGTTTCTCTGCATTTTTATTTTCCCCATGATCAGAAAACTGCCCTTTTCAGTTTTCTTCTTCCATTGAAGACCAGTATTATTCAATTTAGGCTTCACAAATTTCACTTTTCTTTTTTTGGCCATGAGCATTACACAAAGTAAGTCTCCGAACTAGTTTCATCCAAATAATCCTCCATGTGCATTTTTCGATGGAATCATCAACTTCTATTTGAATTCATCCGTTAATGTCAAGTGCTAGTGCCCAGAGAACTCTCCAAAACCATAAGTTATTTAGCAAGTAAAATACCTTTCTTGAATTCACTAGTGTTTCAGAGCGAAAAAAAAAAAGAAAAAGAAGAAGAAAGAATTCAGTAGTGCTTATGCATTTCTCCATCTTGTCGACTTAATATTGTCATGTTTTTCTGGCTGCCTAACTTGTTTAGAAAGCTATCCTGTTATTTTTTTAGCTAGGCTAAAGCTGCTCTAATGTGTATCTGTGAAGAAATATTCATTAGTAATGTTTGTATGATCGAGTAAAACGAAAAGACAAAAAAGGGGAAGTTGATACTGGAGCTCTTGGCTTTTTTTTCTCTTTCTTTTCTCAAATTATTCTCTACAACAAGTTTGAGTGTGCATTATTGTCCCGCAGGTTTGTAGGGGAACTGCTGTAATGCTTGTGTCGCCAACAGATGGTACAGATGAGATTGCGAACCCTTTTAGCCAGCCAGATGGGGCCTAAAATGGAGAACTTGCTTTGCCTCTCCTCACAACACAGTTTTTAAGAAACCATGATGGGGTGATTGTGGGGACCTTGGTCTTTAAATACCATGGACATTTGATTATCAACTAATGTAAAACATTAAAATGTTTGTTACTCTCTGTTCGTTTTAGATTCTAGTAGTAAATCTGTTCTAGGTGTTATTGGATGCTTCTAAAAATGAAACTCATTGTCTTTTGGGTGTCATCCTGTCAATGTAGTTATGTAACATTGTAAAATTTGATTCCTACCTGAGTTTCATACAATTCTAGTAGGATTTTCTTTGTTGCTTCATTTGTTTTCACCGTGAAGTGTGTCGTCCTCTTTTCCACTGGCCTTGGTGCAGAAAGAGGAAAACAAATTTGATGTGCACAGAAAGAGGTTGCTGCAACCCGTAAACTTGTAGATATCTTTTAAAGCTGTGACCCTTGAGCATTATATAGTTCACCAGGCGTGGAAGATGTCATCAAGGAGACTGCTTAATCATTTGGCCAGTGGAAAAGAGGATTTTCTGAAGATTCTTTTGTACTGAATGGCATTTAATCATTTGGATCAAACAGACTTTTGATATAATTTGTCCATTTTAAAAAAGAAAGATAAAAAGATAATTAACTTTTAAACTTTTGATATTATAGAATAGTACGGTAATGCGGTTACGTGGTATATCTTGTACATGTGTTCAGTGGCGGAGCCAGCATGGGACCAGTGTGGTCCTAGGCTCCCACTCCAATTATTTATTTATTTATTTGTATATCATATATGATATAATATTATAATATATTATATTAGTTTTAGCGTATTTGTTTCACAATAAAATAATATATTAGGTTCTTTTTGTCTACAAATTAACCATAAAATTTCTTGTCTCTCTTTTACTCATTCTCTTAAATCTTCTAGGTTAGTTTATGATATTTGCACTAAAAACTCCTAAAGTTTTAACCTTTCTTTCTCTTCCTCTTTTGTTTAAAGCTTTATGAATTTTTTATTTTCCTCATTTTTTTATGTATGAGTTGGGTACCTTATTCTTGCACTTTATGAACTCTTTTTTGTTTTTGTTTTTCTATTTCTTTTATCTTTTGGAATATAAATGATCAAATTTGAAGTCTTTAATAGTGTAGATGATGATATTAGTATTTAACCAATTTAAAATATGAAATTCATGATAATTATGAAGAGAAGACAAAGTTTATGAAGGGCCCCCTCTAATGTGAAATCATGGCTCCGCCACTGCATGTGTTATAATATTAGTGGATGTTTAATTGATACTATTCCCTAAAGCTTAAAAAAGGGAAAATAAACTTTAAAACGTCTGTTCATATTATAACACGTGAAAAATATGTCATTTGACTATACTACCGTAGTATTTTATAATTTATGGTGCTTATGGGGCCTCTCCTCCACTAACCTCTTAATAAAAGAATTTTCAACGGGGTCGGCTGTCCTCATGCGCACTTGAATATAAAGTTGTCATTTTACGTTGCTTTTTGTATATGGATTCCATTGCAGGAACATGTCATTGGGTTTTTGGGAGTTTCTGGTAACAAAATTGCCAGATCTGATGAAGCTGTCCATTTTAATGATCTTGACCATGGTGCAAGGTGGAGGCATTATCCATGAAAATAAGTGGCTTGTATTGTATGAGAAGTATATATAAAGTAGTCCAGTGGAAACATGAATCGCTTAGAGCCACACTTGGGGAAAAACCAATGAGATGTCTTTTGATTTTTTGACAGCCATTTAGCTGTATGGTGCCCTCCCCCTTACCACCCACTTTGCTGATTGGCATTTTGATCTTCTCTCAAATCTAGTGGTTCTTTGACATATATGCTTTTCCCCCATTTTTCCTAGCTACATAGAAATATGTTCTTTTCAATTCCACTAAATTTAAGATGGATCAACAGCAAAAATCACATAAGAGAGATGGAGGAAAAAGACTTTAAAACTCTTTTGCAATGTTTGACTCAACATTTCTATGCTCCACTTTACGAAGGTTGAGAAAATAGTTGGGTGTCAAATGTGGCGTTGGAATAAATGTTTTTAATAACTTAAGTTACAAACTCATTAGGGTTCGTTTGGGAGTGATTTTGGATAAGCCAGAATCACTTATGGGAAGAAGGAGGATGTACTTCTCCAAAAAAATCACTTTTAGTAATTTTAAATGGTTCTTGGGAGAAGCATCTCCTATGTGTTTTTTCATAAAATCACTTAAAATCATTTTAAAGTAATTATTTTAAAAAATAATTCTCCATAAAAATGATTATTGGCCTATCTATAATCACTCTCAAACGAGCATTTTAATTAATTAGATATTTCATTGTTGCATAAATATCATCCTATGCGACAACTCGGCATGCCAGATCAGCTAGGCATGAGAAACATGTGGAGCAAGTAAGGGTGAGAGGAGATGTGTGTAACATAAGTTAAAAAGAGGGAGATGACAAGTAGTGTCGCATTGTAGATGATGTTACAGAACATAACCAAATTATTGAACTCTGAGAAAAGCTTCCCACACAAGGAGTCGGCGACTTCAGCTCTCTATCTATGGACAGCTGGAAACCCAACAACTTCCATGATATGACCATCACTAAACCCATAAAAAATGGTTAAACCCTAAATTGTCATAGATAAAAAATGTCAAACTATATCTTTTTATTTTAAACTATTTCAATAGAGAGGTTTCAAGTTCAAATCTCGTATAAATGGTTAGATTTGAGGTTTCGGGTTCACATTCGTCATCCTCCTTTGATTATGTACTTATCCTTAATATAACTTCATTATTAAGTATATGAATTGAATGGTATGGGCTGCTAATAAGTCATGTGATGACATGATTTTGGTGATTAGGAAAGTGGGTCCTTGTGCACCTTTTCTTTTAAATTTTTTTATTTTATGTTTTGGCCCTTGCGAAATAAAATGGCATGAAACTGGGTCCAAATTTTGGTTCTATAATTTGTCCCCAGGATTTGACCCCTAAAATAATAAAATAAAAAATCAACATGGGGAGCCTCCTCCTAATTGACCACAATTTTAGGCTTTACCTTACTCGAGGACAAATAAAACAAACACATATAAACAAGGCTTAATTATGTATATGCCCTTTGTGCTTTTCAACTTATCTCAGATTACCATCTGTATTTGCAAACGGCTCAAAGTACCCCCCAAAGTTTAAAAAACCGTCTCACGTTACCCTTTCCATCAGTTTTTTTGAAGTTATGAACGTTACTGTTCATCTCCCCCAAAATTCCAGAACAGCAACCCATCCTCTTTGTTACTGTTCATTCGACCAATTTTTGGGCTGTCATCTCCTTCTCCGGCCACCCCAAGCGACGACATGGGTATTAAAAGAACCAGCACGTTGTCCTCTACCACCCTCACATCTCATCCGCTACCAACCGCCGTCTGGATCGCCGAAAAAAGCAAGAAATTGGCCGATTTTTACCCAAAATCTTCATCTCTCGTTCGGGCGATTCCGAGCACCATTTGCTTCGATCCAGGTATGGTTTTTCAACCTCTCGAGTTGTTCTTGCTGCTAGTTGTGTTGGTTATGAGAAATTTCTGAGTTTTGGAGGGTAAATAAGCGATGAACAGTAACAAAGGGGATGAGCTGCTGTTCTGGAATTTTGGGGGTGACGAACAGTAACGTTCATAACGGAACTTCAAAAAAACTGACAGAAAAGGTAACGTGAGACGGTTTTTTAAACGTTGGAGTGTACTTTGAGCTGTTTGCAAACACATGTGGTAATCTGAGATAAGTTGGAAAGCACAGGAGGTATGTACATAATTAAGCCTATAAACAAATACGACTGTTTTATTTTTTCCTGATTTTGAAGGATTCAGGGATTCAAATTGGATTATTTTTATGACAAAAAATTACGTGTAGTACACGGCAACATGCATGTGGTCAACGCTTAAATATTTGATATTTTCAACAATTCGGTTTTTCATATTACCATCCGTACTAGAATTTTCAAAATTAGCCAACCTCAATTAATTTGCAAGATAGGTCATGGTGCGTCATGTACACGATTTAGCCTTGGATTGGGTGGATTTTCCCGTCAGTGCAAAACATGTTCCACTTCTATTATGGGGAAAAAGAGCCTTTGCATCAGCTGCTCCCAACAAACATTGCCAAGAATGATCCTCATCATCTTCTTCCAAGTGACTAAGAGGGTCGGAATTGCGCCTTAAGGTCTCGTTTGGTTGCTCGATTTGTATTAAATTGGAATTAAGTTTAAGTCTGTCTTTATGAATCATGTTTCTTTAGATACGATTCATATGTATAATATTAAGAATTGTTATTCAATTTAATAAGTCTAATCTGATTATTTATAAGTTCATCAAACAACGATCAATCATCATGACACGAAACCAGGCTTCCAAGCAGGGTTTGGTTCCCGTCTAGCCTTACGAGTCCAATCCAACCATTTAATTCATTTGTGGCCTTAATTGGTGGGAGGCTAATTAATTTTGTAGGTGATGCCACACGCATTTGGTCGCATGAACGTTACTGTTCATCTCCCCCAAAATTCCAGAACAGCAACCCATCCTCTTTGTTACTGTTCATTCGACCAATTTTTGGGCTGTCATCTCCTTCTCCGGCCACCCCAAGCGACGACATGGGTATTAAAAGAACCAGCACGTTGTCCTCTACCACCCTCACATCTCATCCGCTACCAACCGCCGTCTGGATCGCCGAAAAAAGCAAGAAATTGGCCGATTTTTACCCAAAATCTTCATCTCTCGTTCGGGCGATTCCGAGCACCATTTGCTTCGATCCAGGTATGGTTTTTCAACCTCTCGAGTTGTTCTTGCTGCTAGTTGTGTTGGTTATGAGAAATTTCTGAGTTTTGGAGGGTAAATAAGCGATGAACAGTAACAAAGGGGATGAGCTGCTGTTCTGGAATTTTGGGGGGGATGAACAGTAACGTTCATAACGGAACTTCAAAAAAACTGACAGAAAAGGTAACGTGAGACGGTTTTTTAAACGTTGGAGTGTACTTTGAGCTGTTTGCAAACACATGTGGTAATCTGAGATAAGTTGGAAAGCACAGGAGGTATGTACATAATTAAGCCTATAAACAAATACGACTGTTTTATTTTTTCCTGATTTTGAAGGATTCAGGGATTCAAATTGGATTATTTTTATGACAAAAAATTACGTGTAGTACACGGCAACATGCATGTGGTCAACGCTTAAATATTTGATATTTTCAACAATTCGGTTTTTCATATTACCATCCGTACTAGAATTTTCAAAATTAGCCAACCTCAATTAATTTGCAAGATAGGTCATGGTGCGTCATGTACACGATTTAGCCTTGGATTGGGTGGATTTTCCCGTCAGTGCAAAACATGTTCCACTTCTATTATGGGGAAAAAGAGCCTTTGCATCAGCTGCTCCCAACAAACATTGCCAAGAATGATCCTCATCATCTTCTTCCAAGTGACTAAGAGGGTCGGAATTGCGCCTTAAGGTCTCGTTTGGTTGCTCGATTTGTATTAAATTGGAATTAAGTTTAAGTCTGTCTTTATGAATCATGTTTCTTTAGATACGATTCATATGTATAATATTAAGAATTGTTATTCAATTTAATAAGTCTAATCTGATTATTTATAAGTTCATCAAACAACGATCAATCATCATGACACGAAACCAGGCTTCCAAGCAGGGTTTGGTTCCCGTCTAGCCTTACGAGTCCAATCCAACCATTTAATTCATTTGTGGCCTTAATTGGTGGGAGGCTAATTAATTTTGTAGGTGATGCCACACGCATTTGGTCGCACGCCTCGTCGTTCAGACACTTTACATTTCCACTGCCTAGCAGGAAACAACTCTGCTTCCAAGTTCCAAGTTCCAACCAACCCAAACTCCCCAGAGACAAAACGCAGCACTTCGACGACGTCGTTACATACACACACATACACATACACATTCACATTCACATAATAATACATTATACATATGTACTTTTCTGACAGCTTTTCATGTGACTGAAAGGTCACGAAAGGCGGACCTACCTACATGTGGTCCCCACACAAACCCCCCCATGCATGGCCCACCATGCAAGTGTATGCATGCGCACTCATCCACGTCATCTATTCTTTACACCCACCGCTACTCAATCTCGGCCGTCAGATCTCTGAATCCCTCGAGATCCTCGCCCCCACCCCTTCCTTTTTTGTTGAAAACAGCGACCAGTTATCATACGCAAATGTTCCCTTCACCTCACTTCATACTTTACAGCTTTAATGGTTTATGCCATGCACACGTGTCACCCTCCCATACGCCCTCTTCAACTCCCCTAGGCAATATACCCACTCGTATCAAGTTATCATCTCGTTCCATCGCGAGAAATAAATAATTGAATGCGCCCCCTAAGTTGCCCATACGGTGGGCCCCATAGCTTTCAACCCTCCTCCCAACTGGATTTTCCAGTTGCAAAGTTTCGAAATGACATAAAACACCCTGTCTCTTCTTCGAATTAACATTCAACTGCCATTCAAACATCGCAGAAAAAGAAATATCAAAACCAGAAAAAGCTGAACACCAACTATTACCAACAAACACATCGAATATCGTAAATCACAATAATTTTATCATTTTCCAAGCCCAAAGAAAAGAAAACACAATAAAATTAAAAAAAATAATTATCAGAGAGAATTTGATTTTCTTCAGTAACGAAGCGATCTCTCTCTCCGTCGTCTCGTCTGCTCCTAAAAGTGTTTCCCTCAATCTAAACCATCGGTGATGATCTCCGAGAGAGAGACGCCATGATAATCGAGCACAAATTTCCTCTGAAACTTTCTCGAGAATTAATTTTAATTTTCCCGAGAAAATTCAGAAATGTTTTTGGTTTCATTTCTACAAATTTAATTATCAAACCCGGACGATCTTCGCGGCCTTGACCACGGGGTTTTCTCTCGCGATGGCCTCGCGACCCGCGGCCTTGTAGTCGTAGCTGCACACGTGGCGGTCGGAGTACCGGTGCTCGGAGCAGAAGAGTTCGCCGCACCGGCACCGGAATCCGGTCAACCCGACCTTTCTCCGGCATCCGGAGCAACGGTTTACCACTCGCCGATTCGCCGATTCGTCCGATCTCGCGATCTCGGACGCCGTCGTTCTGCGGGTGATCTCGGCCGGAGCCTCGAAGCTAAAGGAGCTAGATCTCGGACTTTTCTCGCCGGAAAACTTCAAAGTCACAGCCGAAGATGAGGTTGCTGTGGTGGTGGCTGAGGAGGCGTTGAAGCACTTCTGGCACATGTTGTTGGTGGAGGGATTGCCTGTGACGCCGCAGTTGTTAACGCAGTGCGTTAGAGTTTCGGGGACCTTGAACTCCGTCTCTTCCTTCTCCGTTCTCTGAGCCATTTTTTTCATTCAGATTCCTTCAGATCGATCGATCTCTCCTCTTCTCTTCTCTGATTTTTTTTTTTTTTCTTGAGATATAGATAGAAAGTATATGGAGGTTGAGGTTTTCTAGAGAGAGAAAAAGAAAGTTGTGGTTTCTAGAGAGAGAGAGAGAAGAGAGAGGTTTGAGAGGTTTGGGTGGGCGAGGGAGGAGACAGAGAAATGGGGATATGAAGGACTGAAAGGTCGGTAATGGCGATGGAATATGGGCCTCATACAGACGCGTATAAAACATTTCTGCGTTTTATTTTTACCAAAATACCCTTCCTCTTTTTCTTTAATTATGACCTTTTGCTTAAAGAACTAAACTAAATTAAATTAAATTAAACTTTATTTTTAATTATTTTGGTTCTTTGGTTTGGCTTAGGTTGCTTGTTCTAGATTGGTTCTGACGTGGTAATCGTCATTATTGAGAAAAGGCTATCCCTGACAAAGCTTATTTTAAGGTTGGGTGGGACCCGCATTTTTACCCACATGCAGCATGATATCAATATGCAGCCGTCTGATTGATTCTATTGGTGGCGGATGTTCTAATTTATTTTTCATTTCTTTATTTCCAATATAAATAACTCAAAAGATTAAAGATGAATTCGTCTGTCTGGATTTTTATTTGAATAATTGTTCATCAATCATACGATAATTTATTTATTCATTTTTTTTACACAAATTAATTGGTTTCTACTCTTATGCAATTGTTCTCATTTCATTGTTATGTAGTGGACTCATATGCATACTATTAGAAAAATCACTTTATACCTTCTCAATAATTATTTGGTGTGCCATTTCGGTCATAGATAGTAGGAGAAAAAATAAATGATATAGTCGTTAAGATCGTTCGAATAACAACACTCAAATTAAGAGGAGTTCGAAGTAGGGAAATATGAACAAATCAACGATTTAGGAAACTCTAGTGGCTTTAGTAGTTTTAGCGCAGTTTTTGTTCGTTTTAAGTTTGTTTTTAGCATGTTAGTTTGTTGTCTTCTTAGAATTGGTGCTTTAGATGTCATGTTGATGTCTTTAACTGCATAGTTAAAGTTTATTTTCTGAAGTTGCTCTTTGATCAAAAAAACAAAAACAAAACTCAATTTATATTGTAACGAATGCATGTTAATATTTTGATTTTATTTTAACAATTAAAAAATAAGTGAGATTTTAAGTTATCCTACACAAGAATTGCTTCCAAATTACGAAACCCCCTTATTTAGTCATTCTCATGATTTGCTATAAAGCTATCACATATAAAAAGAATGCTTGAAAAGCAATTTCTTACTTTTTTTTTCTACCTTTAATTATCTTGCATTGGAATAAAAGCTGCCTCATGGATGCCTTCCCAATTTAGGGTGATTGACATCTTTAGCCTACAAAAATTTATTTCATATGGTAAAGTATGCATGTCTTATAAAGCTTCATATTCTTTTTCTTTTTCTTTTTCTTCATTCTTTAAAAAAGAAATTTTTTTTTTTTAAACCAAGAAAACCATCATGAAATTAAGCTGAATATATATATATATATAAAGCAAAAGACAGATAATAGTAAAACATTTAAAATATCAAAAAATGCTTTTAATTATTGCAAACATTAAGAATTGAAATTATTAATTAAATTAAGATAATATGATAAATTCACATTTTTTTATATTTAAAAAATTAAAATTAAAAGAAAAATCAAATAATGGATTCTACTTTTATGAAAGCAACTACCCATTATCTTTTTTAATTCTAAAATAAAATAAAATTTTTTTTTTAAAAAAAACCTATCACAAATACGAAAGCGCGTGCGAAGATGCTAGTATTAATTAAACAAGAATTTGAAAAAGATAATTAAAAAAGTTGGGTGTGAGGTGAGAGGGATATTTCCTGTCGTCCACTAGGAAGAAAGGAGTAAATAGTTTTTTGTTTTTTGTTGTTGCACTGCATGGGTAAAAGAAGAGCAAAACAAAAATAAATAAATAAAATTAAAAATGTACGGGATCCTAGAAGAATTGCAATGCAAGTGGAAGGGCAAAATGGAAAACGGGGAAAAATTAGAAAGCCCCACTTGGGGAATGGCGGTGACAGGGGCAATTTCTCGCGTCCAGCTTTATAAGGCGAAGCCGCCCTATCTGACTGACCCATTTCGTTGTCTCAGGAAAAAAGTCGCTCTCTCGGTCCTCGTCCAACGCACACGTGTACGTCACACGCGTCGTCGTCTCCCCTCCTCTACGTGTGCCAATATGAGGAGCCAAACAAAATACGCAATACTGCTGTTCACCGCAAAAACAAAACAAGACAAAAAAGAAAAAATAAACAACGCAAAAACTATTTCAGTTTCGTTCACCTACTTTCCCCATGTTACGTTAAGATTTTAACTACAATGTTTCTATTTTGGTTAATATAAGTTCGGAACAATATCAATGTGTGAAAATTATGACATTGATTCAACGTTGTAACTACGGAATAGGAATATAGAATGAGAGAAAAACCAACGAAGTCTAGTCCAATTAAAAAGAATATTAAGTTTGAGCGAATAATTTAGTTAGAGCACTAAAATGTAACTCAAGGACAAGTACATGAAAATGGTTTGTACTTACCCGTTGGCCCAGTTTCTCTTTTGATTTTATTTTTTAAAGGAAAATATCCACGTCTTTTTCTCGAAGTAGGAATTCCCATTTTTCTGTTAATCACAATTTATATTTTTAATAAATTATTTATATATATATATATATCAATCTTTGATTCGTAGAAAATAAAAATGCCTCTTTCATAGTAAGAAGGGAAATAATATCCTTTTTAGAAATAGGTTGTGTTGTTAGGGAATTTCAAAGTCTTTTCACGGCCATGGTTTTGAAAGAGCGCAGCTGTTTCTCTCTCTGAGCACTAATAATAAATTAATGCAGCGGCATGATCTGAGAACCGCTGTGGGTTGAGCCCACCACTTGACTGGGTCCAAAGGATAGTGACTAATTGTTATCGCAAAGTCAAACACGGTGAGATAGACGGCTCTGATTGGATGCCACGCGGTTCACACGTGGCCGACGTACCTTGTTGGATAGCAAGTGGGCAAAAAGGGTCGGTCGCAGATGACCCGGCCCCACCACCAGCGTCTGACCTCAACTTCCAACAATATTAAGATTAGGATGGGCGTGTGTGGGCCCTATGCTCATCCTACCTAAAAGGTTCATCATATACATCTTATTATTTATTTTTAGTATAAATATTAGGCTTAATTAAGATACAGATTAATCTGGTCCATGTAGTATTAATTGGCATGCTATTTGGTACCGAGGAATGCTAGCTACATCCTTTTTGTATTCTTTGTTTAATTTGTTCCGCGTGTACTCTATTCATATATAAATCTATGTGCTAACTACGTCCTCCTTGTATTCTTCGTTTAATTTATTCTACGTGTACTCTATTAATACATAAATCTATATAAGAAGAGTATAAGATGGAAGTGTTCCTCTTTATTATCTATTTATAGTATTAACTAAGACACATATTAATCTAGTCAACAGCATGTGTTTCACGTGTTATAAAAACATGACTGGAGCATATTTATATTTAAAGTTAGGGGAATAGTATTAAGAAGTTATTAGAATTTCTGAAAATTCTTCTATTTTCCAACTTTGGGTGGGTTTGATTGAACTATTTTCACTATTGTTTGATGAACTTATAAATGTTGGATTCAAAGAGACCTTGGCTAGTACTCAACTCCAATTCAATCCAAGCCGAACAACCAAATGAGGGTAAGGCCGAGAGAAAAAAACTACAAGCATTACACGCGCGTTACTTGAGCATACTACTACTTTGGCTTAAATTAAATACTCAACAAGCAAAATAAACAAGATCCAAAACATCATCCATAGCAAAGCCAAGTGACAGCCTCCTGGCCCTCACCAAAGGCTGGGATTATTACACACAATCGTTCCTGACATTTGAAATACTCCCACAACAGCTTCCAACCATCTATAACACGAGACCTAACACAACAAGATCAACTTAACATAAGCAGAAGCCACATGGGTAGAAATGAGAGCATGTGTGCAATAGATAAAAGGATGAACCCTCATTCCGAGACATTTATCAGATTTTGTCCAGCTTTTCTGCCTTCACAACCGGGTTGGCTTTTGCTATAGCATCCTGAGCAGCACTTCGGTAATCATAGGGGCAGTTGTGTTTATCCGAGTAACGATGGAGTGAACAAAAGAGATTCCCACAACGGCAATTGAAGCCGGTTAGACCAACACGTTTCTTGCAAGTTCCGCACCGGTTTGGAGTCTCCTTCACCTTCTCCTCACTCTTAATGTCCAAAGATGGAGTAGAGGAAGCCTGTGTTGAGATGAGCATCAAATCTGCAGACCCAGCTTGTACATCTACATCAACAGTAGCAATAGGCTCCTTCCCTCTGTCATTGGGATTGCCATTCACAGCACAATCAATGGATGCTGCAGCAACTTTAGCCTGTTCTTGCTTCAATACCAAGTCCTTGTGGCATTTGGAACACAAATTCATTGTTGCTGCACTTCCAAAGAATCCGCAGTTGTTGGCACAGAGCTTGGGAGCTTCAGGAGGAGCTTGGCACCCTGTCTCGTTGTGCTCCATTTTTTTTAAATTTTCCTGCACCATAATTCCTTAAGGTCTCCAAAAATATATGATAACACAACCACAGGGTAGAAATCTCTCCCCACCTGACATCTACAATTCACCCACTAAATTAAATTCAACATAGTAGTTTAAATCTTTAGAACAAGACATGAAATGACCAGTCCATATCTTTGCTGTGACAGAAAAACTATATGGAAATGTAAATCGTCATTTCTAAGTACCATACTCGAGGGAAAATGACTCTTTAATTGTATACTTTAACCATGACACCCTAAGAGGATCTTATCAGTTACCTAAACTTAGTTTGAGGTTGGCTCTGAATACTCATCTTGGTTATTTAAATATTATTACATTGGTTTCACAAAAACGAAAACAAAATTCAAATGGATAATAATCAAGAAAGACCTTAAGGTTTCACTTGTACATAAGGGAAACAGGAGCAGATAAGTTTCCATTAGAAATCATTTTTCAGGGCCCTGCATATTAATAGGAAATTTTTTACATTTTAAAAAGTATAATACAACATCAGATGCATCAATCAAGAGTATGCACCCTCAAACTTTACCAAAGAAATCAAACAGAAAATCAGTGTGTCCCTTCCTTTACTATATACCCT